GGTTCATTGGACATAAGAGTCTCACAGACATTCCTGCCCAGGCTGGCTTTGAACCATGGTCCTCAGGTCTCAGCCTCCTGAGTAGTAGTGGCATGAGTCACTGGCACCTGGCACAACTTTTTTAAAATTTTATTTAAAATTTTATTTAAAATAAAATATCTTTAAGGAATACTGCATTGTCATCCTTCATCTGATATGTGGTTCTTTAAGAATTGTAAAGAGATTTCAAGCTTTAATATTAGTTGACTGAATCCTAAGAAAAACTTGCTTTTCATTTCAGTTCAGCATAATGTCTAAACCATTCCCAGGGGTCTGAGTGTTGATTGTTAACAGTATTACTTTCACTTCATTAGTTTATTTTTTGAATCAAAACTGTGAAGAAAACGTTTCTAAATATTTCCATAGTGAGGAAAAATAGTATCAGAACACCAAATAGAAAATGTTGATTATTGTTCATTGCTTTTAAATTGACTCTAGCAGAGAACTGTCGATAAGATAAAAACAAATATCATTTAATTATTTTTTAAATAAAACCATGGACTTTTCACTGAACATCTCAGTACAATTAATTCTTTTTGTCTGTGGCAAAACATTTCTGGAAAGTGTATTATTCCCAAAATAACTGTTATCACCAATGTTATTTTTTCTGGTTTTTTGTATGGGAGAGTCCCAGCTGACAGTGATAAAATTGATGACCTAGTTTTTTTCTTTATCTATTTTTCAGATAGGTCTTGGGTTTTCTTTTTTATTTTTTAATCAGTAGCCTCAGACTCTGATCCTATATCTATGCCTTTTGCATAACTGAGATTAGAGATGCCAATTATAGAATACTATGCTCATCTTTATTGGGATAGGGTCTCACTAACTTTTTATCTGTCTGTGCTACACTCAAACCTTGGTCCTTTCACTTTGTGTTATTCAAGTAGCTGGGATTTTTGCTGATGTCCACGGGGCTTGGCATCTTCATATACTTTAGCAATCACTTGCACTTAAAAATTCTTAGGGAAATCCAAAGACCAGTAACACCAAAATAAATTTCAGAATTTATGTAATTCTTATCCACTAATGGAAACTTCCTAATTTTTTAAAACTTGATCCAATTAACGACAATATAGTCAAGAAAAGCTTATAAAAATATACATACAAGTTCCAGTGTGTATTTGTGTGTCATGATCAGGGAGGTAGTATTTAATACATAGTAAGTGTGGGTTTTCCTGTACAATTATTTTCACTGAAGGACTGGATTGTCATCAATCACACTTTGATCAAGTCAAATATAGGTAAATTCCTATAATCATATTCTGTTTTTATTATTGAGGTAAAGTTTAATATGATGACCTTTTGGTAGTCACTAGAAGTGTGTTAGGGGAAAAAAAGAGTTCAAAACTACAAGTTCCTCTTCAGGAGCTTTGGATTTGTTGTATACCAATCATCTGGAAGAGCTCGTCAACGTCAAAGTTAAACACACTTTGCCTAAAGAGAGAGTAGAGACTGTGTCTCACAATTAATTAAGTACCAAGTACCGAGTGATTAGAAGCTTCCTCACAGGATTTACTTCATTCTATGTGTGCAAAGATTGCTTTGTATTAGATTTTCTAAAATAAAGAAATGAATTTCACTAGAACTATAAAAACACCACCCCAAAAAACAGCTTTAAATAATAAACTAATTTTAATTATGCCCTAGATTTTTGGTTAGTATCCTTCAAAAATACTTGCAGTTCAACTGGTTTTGTGTCCAAAGTATTTATTAGAAATATTTTTTGCGCATTATTGATTTCATCACTTTCAAATGAAATAAAAATTAAATAGTATCTTGGCTACACCTCTCAAATTTTGAAGAATAGGTTAAATTGTATCTTTTATTTTACAATTCTTATTTTAATTTTAAGAGAAAAATGACTGAAAGGTATATAATTTTCTCAGACATGAAAAACAACAGACAAGCAAACAAAGCACCCAAGAGGGTATACTTTTGATACTAGGGTGCCGGCTGTAGTATGACAGGTACTGAAGACAAAAACATTCATCACAAATGGACTTAATGGAAGTGTGCATCTCAGTTTTGATGACTGGATCAAGGAAGGAGAAAGGGAAGTTGCTTCCTGAAGAATAAGACCTATAGTCATCACTGGGATTTTTACTTTAACTCATAAGATCAGTGTAGTCAGATACCTCACACCAAGTGTTACCTTAAGAAGTACCCCGGGTGGCATACAAAAAAAATGCAGACTGTTTTTGCAAGATACATTGATTATGAAAGATGAATGAATTTCTTAATCATTAACATATGGAAAAGCAATAATAATAAGAGTATGTTTTTTTAGAATCAATGCAATAATTAACTAGAATTGACAAGTATATTGAAGTTAACTAAATATTACTTAAAGATTATTTAGATATTATATAATACTTTATAAGACATGCTAACATATTTTAGTAAGTATAATTCATGGGGGAATAGAAATAGAATTAATAGAATCATAGACAATATGGACTAGTATTTTTGGTTTGTCTACTTATAAGATCATAGAGTATATGAATGAACATAAAGATCCTCAAATCAATATATTTGATAATCACATTTTTACTGCATGCTATTTATTTTCCTGATCTTTTATTATCTCCAAATATGCACACTTGGAATAGATTTCCATTGGTCATTAATAAATTTACTATAGTCCCATAGTGTAATAGGAAATTTTATAGTCCTAAATAGTAAAATTACAAGTATATGAAATTATATATATATGTATACACTATAAACACTATATGCATATATAATATATACACATATATGTATATATATATTACTTATAGTATAGATAGATAGATGCACGTATACTCAAACTGAATAAAGTCTGGTATATGCAGGGGAGGATTCCACTGGTATAATTCCTTTCAACAACTGACTTACAGTTTAGCTAAATGAAGCCTAAGAAACTGAAATGTGTTGTCAGGGGAAAGTCAAGGGGAGGGAGGAAAAGCTAATGAAAAGAAGAATATTGGGACAATGCAGTCATAATATGCAATATACATATGTGAAAATGAAACAAGGTTACTTGAGTGGATGGTTGTAGTTGGGAGAGATAGGAGAGAAGGACTGAACAGGTGACATTGATCAAAATTCATTCTACTCATAAACGGATATGTTCAATTACAACCTTTTTTTTACAGCTACTTAGAGATATAATTTTAAAACAGTTAAACAGACTATGAAAAGCTCAGCATGGGTGGCTCACGCCTGAAATCCTAGCTACTCAGGAGGCTGAGATCTGAGGATTGCAGTTGAAAGCCATTCAGGCAGGAAAGTCGGTGAGACTCTCATGTCCAATAAACCAATAGAAAACCAGAAGTGGCGCTGTGGCTCAAGTGGTAGAGCACTCGTCTAAAGCTGAAGAGCTCAGGGACAGCACCCAAGGCCAGAGTTCAAGCCCCACAACCGACAAAAAGAAAAAGAAAAAAAAAAAGAAGACTACAAATAGAAAATTTAGGAGTATATCTTTAAGATAAACATCTCAATTATAAAGCAGTCTAGGTTATAGCTTGACTCCATGATGCTTTCATGTAGTAGTACAGATGGTATGTTCATATGCTCCACCACAAACCCTAGTTCTGTATACAGAATCAGTGGCATCTCTAACTCTACCTTTCTTTTATGCTTGTTGGTTTGGTTCCCAATAAATGTAGCCTCAGGTAAAATGTTTTTACTGCAACTGCCACCTAAGATGTGAAGGGAATACTACAAGACCCTGAGGAGACTGGAACCAAAGTATTCCTCATTAAAGCTAAGGGCCTTACTGGAGTCTTGGGATTTGAGGTGCTGGTCTATGACTCAAAGATATGTCCAGTCATCAGGCATCTTATCCAAACAAACGTGGAAGTCAAACGAGTCTTTCTCCATTAGGGATATTTTGTATGGCAGATTTGGTGAGTGAGGCAGTGAAGATGGCTGCTGGTGCATAAAACTCCATGCTTGAGGATACATGCACCATTTCCCCTCCCCAGCCTCTTTTCAAAGCAAACTGTGGAGAATGTGAAAACTCATTTTTTTTCCTATTAGCTTCTGATGGTCTTTGAGATTCCTGCTTTTCACACCATGAAGTAATGAGTTATGGATTATACAGTACTTGAATGTAACTATGCACTTTAAGAGGAGTTTTGAGACCCATGTGGAAACACTCAAAACAGATGACAATCAGAAAATGGAAAAGGGCTAAAGAACTAGCCAAAAAAAATGCCATCCTCCTTGCCTTTTTACAACTGTTGTCAATGTGAAAGTATGAAATGCTGCCTCAAGAACAGCACTTCTTACACGATAATTGGGTGAAGTGGGTTCTTTGACTAGAAATACTAAATAAAGCTTGCTTGTTGAAATTATGGCTTTGATACAAAATGGCACTTACTCATGTCATTCACACTTCCATACTACTTCACAAAGGATGTACAAACTTGTGGATGTCCAGACACCATTCTTTGTTTAACAAAAAAGAAGTAACCAAAAAGAATCCATTTGTAAGTATCACTGGATTCATAAGCATTCCCTTCTGTCAGTTTGTGTTAGGAAACTTAAATGCTTCTCCTTTAACTCACTGTGAAATTCAGAAAGCTGTTTTTATCATTCATAAATGCATATAGTGCAAGTAACATTCAACTTTCAATACTGATTTTCTTTCAATACTATATTTTCTTTATATGTATGATGCCTTATTTTATGTCCATTATTGCATAATGACAGATCCATTTTTGGTGGATTAACTTTTCTGTGAGTTCCTTTTGGGTGCAACTTTGATTAAAAACAGAAAACTGAGGTTGAATTGTTAAGTCTTGTTTTCCTTCTTATGTAATTTCATCCTGGCTTGCTCATTTGATTCTTATTCTTATTTCATTTTGTTTTCTAGAAGACATAAGTTTATCCAGGCTCCAAATGTCTGCTCTGGCAAGCCTTTGAGAAAAGTCTGCTGCCAAAATTTTGAGCAAAATTTCTCAGTCTGAACTCACCTCTCCTTCTCTGGGCCATGGCCTTCCATTCTGGGTGTATTTGCTTTGATTCTGTCTTTTCTTTTGTCCTCCATCAGCGAATTTGCACAGCAAAGGCTCACTTGGAGCTGGGAAGATAAAAACCAATTCCACATCAGCAAATCCCCCTTAGATTATTTGACACACAGTAATTCTTTGTAAGGAACATCTTTTGAAGTAACATCTCAGTTCTGAAGAGTTATTTGGCCCCTTTTTAATCTCAACTTAGTTGGCTGCTGTTCTAGCTGGGCTTCAAAAAAGTACTGGCAGACCATAAAAGAGTATAATAAATATTGTTGAAGCAGAATATGAACTTTTCTTAGACGAGGCAAGCAAGCATGTGTTCTAGCAGTGAAGTTAGAGACAGGCTCATAATCAGTACTTACTTTCAAAGCAACTGTTCCTGCACTACAGAAACTGAAAGATTCAAGTTTGGAAAGGGATACTTGGCAGTTTGTTTCTAAAAAGGGAGAGATTTGGCTAAATTGCCACCAAATTAGCTTTATTTCCTCATTAATCCTTTGCAGTTTCAAAAAGGCTAGAAACTGACCTTCCACCCAACCCTTTCCACCCCAATTTTCCAGTAAAGCCTACTCAGAATCCCAGAGAGAACAATTACTAGAATATTAAGTGAACATATATGAGAAAATATAGCCAATGTAATGGAGCAGCTCCCTGGGGAAGTCGGTCTTTCAGCTCCCCTCCCTAGGATTTTCTCTAATCTTTAAACAACTTAGTTCTCTCCTGGTGGTGTTCTAACTTCTAATGAGAAGCCTGTATAATGGACTGCCTTTCCTCAGCTCCCAGGAATGATTTGCATAAAGAAATATATAATGCATTTTTCTCAAGACACGATGCAGATACTGCCTAGGGGGCTGAGATCTAGGTCTATTTCCATTGTGGGGAAGGAGATGCTACTGTGTTCTAGAAACCAAGTCGCTTAGACCCCTGAGCTCTGCAAGATGGCAATTTGGAGTGGATAAGTCTCTATTTTGCTCAGTGCTGGCCATGAATCAATTGATTTTTCTTCTACTAATTTTTGCTCCCTGGTAGAGGGGCAACAATACAAATCTTAGGTTCTGGTAGTGAAAGGAGATGACTAGAATTCATGAGTCATGAACCACCATGGAAGACTCCATGTCATTAATAAATTTACTTCCTGGGAATAAGTAGCCAGACTAAAAATGACAACAAAAATGACAACAAAAAACTCCAACAAGGCAATATTATACTTTGATAATTGGTGGCACATACCTGGAAAAGAAAGTCATACTGGTTTATCAAACTTGGTATACACATTACAACAACCATGGAAAAGGTTAGTTTGTTCGTTTATTGGAAGAAACACAATATTATTTTGTTAAGTTTACAATCTGAAAAACAAAACTAGTCATCTCTGCTCATCAATTGGGAAAATGTGCCCAAGCCATGTGTCAGTGGTTTATACCTATAATCCTTGCTATCCAAGTCTGAGATCTAAGGATCACTTCAAAGCCAGCCCAGGCAGGAAAGTCTATGAGACTTACACGGGCAAGATAATGAGTACATTTCTTATCAAGCATTGTCTATGAGATTCTTATCTCCAGTTAACTATCAAAAAGCTGGAAATAGAGCTGTGGCTCAAGTGGTAGAGCACTTGAGGGTAAAATTTTGAGCGGAAAAAATGCAAAGGCAGCACCCAGGCCCAGAGTTAAGAAAAAAAATGTCCAGCTATCAATTAACTGTAGTAGTAGATAGATGTTTTTAGCTTTGGCTGGGTCCTCACTTTATGCCAGGAAATGTTGTACAGTTCCCTTACTCTTATCTTTGTTCTGATTTGTATGTGATTGCCTGGGCCAAAGGAATGCTAGTAAATGTTTGAACTATCTTTAAATACCAGGCTTCTTCCTCCGTGTAGCTATGTAGGCATTCCCAGGCTCCACTGCTGGAGGATAAGAAGCAGATGGACAAGAGTCATTCCTAATATCCCATCCAAGGCCATTCCCCGGTGACCCAATGGTCAGCACAATCCCCAGGCCTGTAAGTATGCATCTGAGAGCAGCAGCAGTGCAAAACCATCCTGTAGTCTTCCACGTATGTTCAGGTGACAGCATTTCACAAATGTATAAACTGAAGAAATCTTTATTGCTTTGTGTCATTAAGATTTTGAAATGGATAGCACCATTGTCTTAAGAAACAATTCATACAATTGATCATATCCACTCTTCTCTGTTCCTACCCCTAAATAGCATTAGCTCAATTCAGTGAAGCCAAAAGTCATTATAGAACATTCATTGTCTCCAAAATCAGCAGTGGGGAAAAAATACAGGCAAACAGGTATCTACAAATAAGTGTACTCAAATAGGTAACTGTAAACTAGTATTGAAAAAGAGAATTTGGCTTTCCAAGACAGTATACTGTCCAAACCTTCTTTGTGTTGGGATAGTACTGTGCTCCTAATGCACGGCATTGTGCTCTCATCTGGCTTTTTCACTAAAGACTGGGATTCCACCATTTAAACCATAGCTTTTCTCCTGACTTTTTGCTGGTCAAGGAGGTAGTTGTCTCTTAGATTTGTCTGCATGGGCCTCAGATCTCAGCCTCTTGAATAGCTAAGATTATGGGCGTGAACCATCAGTGCCTGTCTTCAATTGTGTTTTAGTTAAGTGTGAATATTTTATGGTGTGTGATTTTTAAAAAATTTACTTAAAAGTGATGTACAGAGGGGTTACAGTTACATAATTCAGGTAATGAGTACATTTCTTTTTGAATCGTGTTACCCACTCCCTTGATCTCTTCCAGCTTGTCTCTTCCCATATCACCCCCCCCCAAGTTGTATGGTTCATTTATAACATAGTGTCTAGTGAATTTCACTGCTGTGCTTCCCCTGCCCCTTGCTAAATCAGATAGATTTATATTCAAGATATAAGGTACAGAAATTAAATACAGTGACAAAAGAAAATAAGACAAAGAAAAAAGGAAAAAAACATGCAAATAGCATAATAATAATAAAAAACTTCTTGCTTCCATTTTTGAGGTTCATTTCAATAAACATCACTTTATATGATCACATGCATCAAAGGAGGATTTTCTTAGGAGAGGATCACAAGAGCTCAATAACTATGTGAATAATTTTTCAAATTACACTTTATTATAGAAAAATATCTGTTTCTAAAAAAAAAAGAAAAATATCTGTTTCTAAAAACACATGTAAAGTTTGGTACTATGGGCAGTTTCAGGAATTTACTGGGGTCTTCAACATCCTATGAAAATGAAGGAACTAATGCATACAAAGAGCATTAATTCTTGCCTAGCTAAACAGAAATGCCTTTTAAGTGTGTGCTCTAATGAGCAGCTAAGTTCCTTGCCTTTGTGAAACTACAGTAATCACTAGACTGTATCCTAGAATGTATGATGATGGTTGGTACCTTTCCACGAGCCTTTATTCCAGAAGGCTAAAATACAATCATTGTGTCCTGATACTTGACAAGTAAGAATACTTTTTGCAATATTTCAAAATGGAATATTTATATACTATGTAAATCATTTCTCTCTGCAGATCATTTTCTCTCTTGGCATCTTGAAGATTTGAGGTACAGCCATCCATTAAATGGGATGTCATGCTAACATGTGGGTTCATCACTGGCAGAATTACAAATTTCTCAGAAAAGGCAAACAAATCTAGAAGCACCTTACATTTCACACTCCAGTGAAACTAGATTCAACTTTCTGGGGGAGGAGGCCTGTGTCAAGAAAATTTTTAGCACATACTAATTCACACACATGCACAACCACCCCCTACAAATACATACAATTTCATTGTGTTGACTGATACAGAATTAAAAGCAAAAATAAATACCAAAGACCACTATCCAAGGAAAGAACATTTTGTGTGTGGTAATAACTGAGGTTATTCATTGGTACTAATGACTAAAGTTTCTCCAAGAATTCTACTTTCATAATCCTCAAACTAATTCATGAGGTAGCTAGTATTTTTCTCTGTTTCATAAGTGAGGAGAACTTCTCAGATTTAAGTGCCTTGCTGGAAACCCAGGTAGCAATAAGCCATTAAGTTCCCAGTCTTCAGGGAAGACTAGCATTTTATCTGCTCAGAAGCATCCTTATATCTCTGTGCATTACATTCCAAAAACTGAATAGGCTCATATAAGAACTTCTATCTGTTAACAGAGTCATGTTTTCATATCTTACAGTTCAAGACTGAAAGGTCATCAGTGGCCTAGTTCATCATAGGAAAGAATGTGATTGTCCTTTTGCATGTACAGTGTTTGGGAGAGAAATACTCTGTCACTCTTTTTCCTAGCCTTCATCTCACTTTTCCCGTAATATCATAAGCCTTTGGCTACTAACCTTATATTTGTATTATAAGTCAGCTTGCTTGTTTTGTTCCTAAATCTTTCCTGATAATTTCCAGCATTTTTATTTTGCTTTTGGTAGCAATACACTTTTTCCATAGAAAACACTGTTATTTCCCAAAGTTTGAATCCATGTTTCCTGAAAAGCCTCCCATTGAGAACTGATGGCTCTGATCTAATCAATGGATGTATCTCTTGATGGATTATTGGGAGTGGGGCCTACCTGGAGGAATTAAGTTGCTGAAGTATATCCTGGAAAGACACACCTAATTACCTAATTCCTTGTCTTAACCTTCTCTCTCTGCTTCTAATCTACTATGAAATGAATAATTTTGATCCACTACACCCTCTTAATTATACATGTTTTTGTTGTTGTTAGTTGAGGGGCTTGAATTCAGGGCCTTGGTTCTGTTCAGAAGCTCAAGGTTAGTGCTCTACCACATTGAGCCAAACCCCACTACCAGTTTTTTGAGTGGATAATTTGAGATGAGAGTCTCACAAGGATTTTTTTTTGCCCCAGCTGGCTTCAAACCATGATCCTCAAATCTCAGCTTTCTGAGTAGCTAAGATTACAAGCGTGAGCCATACACACCCTCCTTCAACATGCTCCAGCTCCATCTCCAACCCCTGCATTTTGTAGGTCAGATCCAGACTGACCTATACTCATTTCAATATGCCAGATAAAAGTTGAATACTGGTGAAGGGCTATGAAGGGAAGCTTATTATACTGTGTAGGC